TTCAACAAATAGTGAGCCGAAGGACAGACAACAACAGAGGTGAAGTAATTGAAGTGCAACAAGAATCTACACTCCAAAACAAAGAGAGGAACTCAATCCACAATGCTCATAATCAGTAATGTGTAGTAGATACAAAAGCTTGCCAGTGTCCCAAAAAACACGAATAGCAGTTTCCAGAACAGAAGGCCAAAAAATGAAAGAAAGTAGAAAGGATCCACAATGCTCATAATCGGTAATGCATAGCAGATACAAAAGCTTGTCACACCCAAAAAAAATACGAATATCAATTTCCAGAATAAAAGGCCAAAACAATTGAAAGATAGTACAAAGGAAAATTAATGCAACTAATTGTGTTAAGATAATTGCTCCTTAGACAAACAAGTACAAGTATGCTCTGGTGTTAATATTGAGTTGACTTAAGTGTAAAAAGAATCAAATTAATTTAATTAATATTTTGCTAAACTGTACACAGCATAATAACATAACAAATAAAGAAGTTTTTTTACACAAACAATTACTTCGAAAGGAATTACTGACCCAGGAAATAGCCGAGCTGCTGTCCGAAATGCAGCCATTGCTTGATCACCCTCCTCCTGTGCAGCATAAGCAATACCAGTACCAATCCAAGCAGGAGGAAATGTCCCATCTAACCCTGTAGCTTTGCTGATAGGAAATATATTAGTGCAAAACATATTACAGCTACTTAAAATTGAACAAGAATACAAGGTATAAGAAGTTGTAAGAGGGTTAAACCCATCCATGATTAAATTCAATGAACAATGAGCATTGAACAAATAAGAAACAAAATAACCTGCAACCTTTGGACTGGTATAACTGAGACACATGTCTTAAGAAAATATATATTGTTTATTTGAACTTGGACTCTGGAGAATTATTGGACAGATATGTTTCACCTTACAAACCATCTGACAGACTGATACTACATGAGTAGAACCTACTCATTTCTGTCTTTTTATCACATTGTTCTATCATTCCAGACAACTAAAAATATTTAACAAAGAAATATATTGTTTGTTATAAGAAATCAATCAGTCAGTTGGATATGCGTAGATTTCAGGAGGCAATGGCACCTATGGACACTGTTCTCTCCATCAGATGGTAACACTATTGTAGCACACATGTTATACCATGTCTGCCATGTTTTCATGACAAAAGTGTTGCCTTACGCAGGAACATGGTTGTGATTTGCAGTGCAGAGGATATTCACTAATCACACCCTATTTTATTTTACATCCCAACATCGAAGGCACAGCAGGATTATCTTCTAAGCTATCCTAAGGCAAAAATGCATAGTGAAGGTTCAAATAAAAATAATACAGTAGAAATTAAGAGAAGAATATGCTTACCCAAAGTATCTGCGTGCTTGATCATACTTCTTAATACAGTAGTAATAACACCCAACAGCAAACCAGGAAAGAGCTCTACAGATGGAACCACAGCTGACATTAAAATAATATACTTTGTTTGCTCATGTCTGACTACAAACAATCAAGTGTACTTTAGTATTATGTCCCTCCAACTATTGGAGTCTATATAACCAACATGAAGGGGGGGGGGGGGGGTCAATCTCTTCTTGTTCATCACATAAATAAAGGTCAGTTAACATATTTTACCCCAATCCCGATGCTATTAAAGGCTAGATTTTACAAGTTGCATTAAAGTTTGCAGAAAGATGAATAATGTGCACAACACTGTCATTATATCTAAGATTGTTACATGCAAATGAAAGGGGGAAAAGCCCATCTAGCAGGATAACAAATATTATGTGGGTCTGAATGTGGGCAGGCCAGTGGGAATACTCACTTCTGAGGATAGTCCTTCACTAGATTGCAGGCCAAAATATAAAGGTCATTTGAATGGCCAAGCTCCATTGCAGCTGCCAAATGAACTAACGTGCATTTCAAATGAAAAGGGTCCCTTTCAAGTAACCTGAGGCACATATAGCATCACAAGAATGATAAACCAATATTGATCAAGGAAACATATGTACCGACAATGAATCATTTACCAACTTACGCAGATGTGAGTTCGAAACATTTTTGGTACTCTCCACTCTGATGATAGTATTCAGCTTTGCAAGCCAACACGTCAATATTATTTTTCAGTGTCAGTCCTGAACTCAAAGATGAAATACTACAAGATTCTCGTTCAAATTCCTTGAACTTTGCTTCCACTATATATTCTTTTTCATGCTAAAGCCATAAAACAAAACAAACCATGATCAAAAGAAATATAAGTGAATGCAGATACACATATTGTTTATTAAATTGCAAAGCAATGCAGTTAATAAGTCGTGTACCTTCCTTATCAAACAAGAGTAGAATGCTGAGAGCCACCCATCTTCTTTTCCAAATTTTAGAGAGGACAATAGCTCAGATTCTGATATCATTGCATAACAATAAGTACCAAGAACAAAGAGAGGATTGAAGGTCCAACATTAAGCATATCTTCTTAAAACTAGTCCAGTAATAACAATAAACATTGTATTATTTAAAAGAAATATCCTAAGAGGATGGACATGACAGATGGGAAGATTGATTTTGTAAAACTTACCTTCCTCGCATGTCAACATGTAGTTATCAACAAGGCATTCAAGGGCCTGCCATGTACAGACATAAGAAGTTAGGAATGAACTAACTGGGGTTACCACAGAGGCCCAATTCCATGTTAGCATCTGGATGCCAAATTCCATATTTAGTAGAACCAAAAATACAAAATAATGGTGGTTCATGTAATTGAAAAGGTATTGTACTAAAGAGTCACATGATTCTTCTCACCTCATAGCACAAAGGATCAGCCTTCACTGCAGCTTTGTACCTGAGATAACAGCAGAACAAAGCCATAAAACCATCTTAACCAAGCTATTTGGCCAGATATGCCCAAAAAAAAACACTGATTAGACAATCCTGCTTAAATCTTAATTTCAAACAAAGAAAATTAGCAGTACTTCCAGGTAGCAACAGTTATTTCAACTATTAGCAGTGTGTCCTCGTTTTACAAGAAAAACTCATTTTCTTTATATCTTCTAAAGAGTATCGAATAACCCAACATTCTCAGTGAAGATATTGAGTAAAAGGTGTAAGAGAAGAAAGACTTCAAAATAACTGCATCGTCATTCACCAGAACCACTGAATACACTCAATTAGACAAAAAATGAAATGATGCTTTACCATTGTCGAGCAAGGTCACAGTTGTCCAGTGCTTCGTATGCCTTGCCACGTAAAAAACATATTGCCGCTTTGATCTGGCAAGCAAATATTACTATCAATCACCATACTAAGAGAGAGAGAGAGAGGCATGGGGAAGAGAAAGAAGAGTCAACACACATTGATCTCATGGTCTTCAGCATCCTTATCAAAGTAAATGTCACTGCCATCATCCTGATCAACAACGTTTCCATGCTCATCTATTTTTGCATCTCCAAGTATGATCAAACACTGATGCCATTCTTTCAACTCCTCCTAACAAACCAAAACAAAACGATGAAACAGTAGCTAAGATAAAAGGAAAGACGGTAGATAAAATAAAGGACTACACAGGACTGTACACCAGAGCACAAATCAGAAAAATCTATACTGAATCATAATATTTTCTGGTATGGTTCAATTTTCTAAAGTAAAATCTTAGAAGTACATTAAAAAAATCACTAATCCTATACAGTTCTTTTGATCTTTCCTATAAGAAACCAGATTTTTGTTTCGAGTGTCATGGATATTGATTGAATAAGCAGTCAAAATCATATGTGCAGTTTATATATCTGACATATATAGAACTTAAACAAAATTCTCATTTATCTAAAAGTCCGAAGCAGGAAGCACATATTATAATCAACCAAACTCCCAGATCAGACCAGCTATTAAGAACCAAGCTAAGCACCCGTTCATTGATGGAATGCCCAAGTAAAAATATTCTGGTCGAGAAAATGCAGGTGTATCATGTTAATTATTTTGAAGCATCAGCAGAGCATTGGACTTGAAGCCAAAAAAATGAAATCCCCCAGTGCAAGCCATTGGGCGCACCTTGTGTGAAGTAAACGACCCTATCTCAACTCATACAGCTAAAGCTAAAAGCTGATCAAGCAAAATTTTATCGAGTGCTTGCAAACACACAGAATCAAATCGTCAAAAAAACTGCCAAACAATGCCCAGAGTGAAAGAACATTGAGGCCACCATACAACCACAAGCTGTTCATAAGGAAGCTCAAGCGCAGCCACGCACTGGAACATTAACAGGGGCAGTGAAACTAAACCTTCTATCTACACACAGCATGCACCCAACATGTTCGACAAAATGGCAGACTAAACAAGGGCGTGGGTGGGGAAGCTCACGAGGCACTTGGCTGCGAGGAAGCGGAAGCGGAGGTCGCGGAGGAGCTTGGAGGAGTTGAGGATGTGGAGCGCGCGGCGGAAGTGGCGGCCCAGGAAGAGCGCCTGCGCGAGCATGTAGACGTCGGCGGGGTCCCCCGTGGCCGCGGCCACCTTGTCGGCGAGGAAGATGGCGGACGCGTACAGGTGCTTCCCGACGCTGTCCCGCACCACCCCGCGCAGCCGCTCCACCGCCTCCTCCCTCATCTCCGCCGCCACCTCCCCCTCCGCCTCCGCCTCTCTCCTCCGCTTGGGATTTTTCTGCGCTGCGGCGGCGGTGGTGGGCGGCGCTGCTGGAGGGAAACCGAATTTTGTATCCCACATTCGCCACTAGGGTTCGCGGCGGAGAGTGGTGGTTTTTGGAAATTTCTCACGGGGAAAAAAAAATGGAGTCCCGACGCGCCGCGGATCGCAGCAAGTGATCGATGGATGGAACGTGCAAGCAGTATGGCTTATGGGCCACGGGCCCACGGCCCACAACATATGCAAACGAACCAGAAAGCCTGTATAGGAGAGGACACACGGGCCAGGCCCATCATCTGGCCGGATTCGGAATCTACCTCTGTGAAATTGCGATCAAAACCTACGGAAATGTATAGATTTCGTGGTATACAAATGTTGATTTTGCCAGCTTACATTGACGTTCTTCACCTTAGTCGTCCCTGTTTGAATTTACTTTTCTATTATTATTAACACGGGAGAAACGATAATTTGAAATGATTCCTTTGGAATTCCTGCAAATTCTTATGTCTATCTTACAATTGCTGCACTGTTCTTTTTTTTTTTATCATGTGAAGACGAATTAATGTGCACGAACGTCGTCCATCGGAGCCGAAAGCGGTCGCTACACGCCGCCGGTGATGGCCCTCGTTGCCGGAGTAGCGGTCATCGCCTGTGAGCCGCACCGCTGGAAATCGGCGACGCGGGGCGGCGGCATGCCGCGGGGAGCCGTCGCTCTCACCGGCGGCGAGACGCCGACGGCGCCGGCCGGGTGCGCCGCCGCCAGGGCTTCTTCGCCGTCGGCTGCGAGGTCGCCGCCGCCGCAGGAGAGGAGGCACGAGGCGGTCTGGGAGCAGCCCAGCGTGGTCACGATGACGTAGCTGCCGTTCTCGTACAGCTTCATGACGTAGCACTCCTCGTCCTCGAGGGTCTCGCGCGGGACGCCGCCCACCCGTCGCGCAGGCGCCGCCGGCGAGGCCACGGGAACGGCGGCGACGTCGTCGGCGGCGGCGGCGGTGGAGGGCGCGTCGTCAAAGCAGTTGAGGTGGCAGTAGTCCCAGTAGATGGGGCACCTCCTGATCAGGATCGGGTTGCGCCCGGTGCAGAGGTAGCAGATGTACATCTCCGTGTCGTCGCCGCCAGTCGTCGCCGTGGCGGTGGCATTGCCGGGCGCCGTGTTGCCGTCGCCGCCCGTGGTGGACACGGCGGCGGCGGCGAGGAGGAGGAGAACTTGGTAGGATGCACGGTTGATGGAAGCTGCTGAGAGAGGCATATCACAAATTGATGAGAGATGATGCGTGCAGCCTGTCTCATTTATAAGGGTTTTTTTTATGGCGGGGATATTTATAGGTCATTTTGGCTGCAGCTGCATTTTGACGTCAGGAGCGTAGTAGTATGAAATTATGATTATGTTGGGAGACCAACAAAATCTCAGTCAATGAATGGATACTACAATTTGACTATACGAGAATAAGTGCTTACCTGTTTCTGCGTAAGAGTGCTATCTGAATTCTGAAGGGTGGTATCAAATTTCAATCGAGCAATCTGCTAATTATCTCTTCCCATGTAGAGGTTACATGTTTTTCTTCATCAAGATAAACCAGAAAAATCGGTTGCATACATATGTTATTTTGTAATTAAGATTCGGATTGTATCTCTGTTTCGTTAGCACGCTTTTAAACTATTAAACGGTATATTTCATGCAAAAACTTTCTATATATAGGTTGCTTTAAAATATTAAAGATACCCATTTATAAAGGCTGTAATAATTATATTTTAATTAATCATGCACTAATAGTTTTCTCGTTTCACGCGCATCAACTTAATATTTCATCCTCATCTGAAAAATAGCTTTCTAGCTGTACTCATTTTCCAGATCAAACGTCTAGGGTATACATTTCCTATTTTCCTCTGTACAAATTTTCTAACAAGGTTCATACTCATGAATACCCGGTACATATCCCTTTCAAAAAAAAAACATAGTACATGCACGTAGACTACGCATATCGCTATGAACAGCAAACAAATGTAGTGCAAATCAGTAGTGGAATAGTGATTTACTAATTCAGCTGTTCAGCAACTACGCGCTCCGGCGGTGGATGGTACTATTTGTCAGCGGTGGACACGGTTAATTAGCAAGCCCAGGAAGCAATGGATTCTGTTTGAAAGTGGTGAGCAACAAGCAAAGTGTGTTGTGCTGCCGCAGCCATTTACCAAAAAACAAACCACCGAAACGGCAGGTTGGGACGTTTTTAGCCATAGAACGAGGAGACTTCTCGTGTTGCTGCCGCAAGCCGCAAGATCGATCCGATCAGTAAGAAATTAAACGGCTGTGAATTTATCCCAAGAACACACACTCGTAATTTGGTTAACAGAGACAGATCGTAGTTTGCAAATATGAGCTGGTTGATTCTTCCACATTAACTACTACTTCCTGAAAAAAAATTGTGAAACCTAAAGTGTTACTCGTATTATTATTTTTATTTGTTTTGCTTGCTTGAATTTCTTTTGGTTTTCTCTCTACCATACTGCCTATATATTTATGCACAGATTGACACGAGGTTTAGTGCTATGTCCAACGTTACATTCGTCGGATCGGATCATCAAACGGCACGTACGCGTTGTCGACATGGGCTCGCGGACGGCGGCACCCGGGCACGGCTAGCGCTGGTCGCCGCACCGCTCGAACTCGGTCAGGCCGCGCGGCAGCGGGCTACCGATGGCGGCCGGGGTGATCTCGCCGGAAGCGGCGCCCGACGACGACGACGACGGCAGCGCGTCGCCGTAGCTGCACACGAGGTAGCATCCCGCGGACGCCTGGCAGCTGACCACGTCGACGACGACCCAGCTGCCGTCAGGGTACACCTTCATGACGTAGCAGTCGTCGTGGCCCCCGCCCCGGCCGTTGTCGCCGCCATCGTCGTCGGCGGCGGAAAAAGGCAGCGCGCGCGGCGGAGACGAGGAGGAGGAGCGCGACGCCGACGACGGCGACGAGAGGCAGGCGATGTGGCACTCGTCCTTGTCGAGGGGGCACCAGCTGATCATCAGCGTGTTGCGCCCGCGGCAGAGGTAGCAGATGTACTGCTGCTCCTCCTCCGTCGTCGCCGTCGATAGCGGCGAGGAGCGGCCGCGGCGCGCCATCACGGTTGCGTTGGCGGCGGCCGCCGTGGCATTGGTGCCACGAGCCACGACGGCGGACGTGGCTGGCCTGGCGGCCGCCGTGCCTACCAAGAGGACGGCGGCGACGGCGAAGGAGTAAAAGGAGAAGATGGAAGCCGAGAAAGCCATTGGCAAATAATAATTGAAGGCGTGTGCGCGGTGACACTGACACACGCAGCGCGTGGCTTATATAGGATGGTATTTAGGTGGAGAGATTAGTACTATGGTCATGTTTGGAAAATAGGTTTGGGATATGATTTCCCACACCTCAAAGGATAAGTCTTAATCTTAGCTATCCATCATTCTCACCATATTTCATCCTATCGCTTCATTCATTTCCGTTTCCTAATTCCACCTCTCCTAACCTATTTTCCAAACACCCTATAGTACTAAATTAGCGAGAAGATTGGATGTCCTTGAGCTTTACTGCAGAGGAGTATATGCAAAGAAGTTATCATGGGTTTTAAAATTTAATCATTTCCTCCCAATAAAACTTTGTCAGTGATATGGGCCCGGGGTTATCATGTTTAGAGGGAGGAGGCTGCCCCCCCCCCAAAATGCCACATGGCCCTCCCCCAAGGGGAGTCAGGCCCGAGGTGGGGTGGCGGCCACTCCTTCCCAAATACTAGTCGGAGGAGGCCGCCCCCCAATGCCACGTGGCCCTCCCCCAAGGAGAGTCAGGCCCGAGGTGGGATGGCGGCCACTCCCTGGCCGAGACTAGAGGGAAAAGGCTGCCCCAGGCGCCACGTGGCCCTCCCCCGAGGGGGGATCGAGCCCGAGGTCGGGCGGCGGCGGCCACCTCCCGTGACTAGGGGTCGGGCTCCCCCGACCACCTCTCTAGGTCACCACGTACAGGTGCCCACCTACCCGCATTTATGGCGACCCGAGCGGTCGCGCCACGCCGGCGTGCAGTGTACTCAACCGGTCTGTGACCGGTCGAATAACCGATGGAACTGGCTAGTGCACCTGTGCGCTGCTCGTGTGTTAGGCGGCGTGCAGCCTGACATGTCCCATCAAATAATGATGGTGAGAGGTTCTCATCCTCTTATCCCAGCCGGAGTCGGTCCTCCCGCTCTGGTCAAAGCTAGGCTCCCGTTCCCCGATGTAATAGGAGCCCAGAAGTCTTCACCCATTAAATGGTGAATGACATGGGCGTCCCTCGTGTCAGGCGGCATGGTGTGGTAGGCCCCACGACCGAGGCGACGTGGATGCGGCTTCCAAGTTAAGGAACAAGACATGCATTTAATGCAAAGATGGTAATACTTCTCGAGGAAGTTAGTTGTTGGGCCTATGTGGTATCCCCTTGAACTATAAAAGGAGGACCTTGCCCACTGAGAAAAGGGACGATGACGACGACGACGACACTCAGTAGGCCTGAACTCTAGGAGAAGAAGAGCGAGAATGCTCTCCGGAGTTTAGGAACCCTTGTAACACTCAACCATAATTCCAAACACAGGAGTAGGGTATTACGCTTCTTAGCGGAGCGAACCTGTATAAATCTCTTTTGTCTCATCGTCTTTGGGGATTGAACGCCCTCAAGATCACACAGCTTCGCTCACCAAGCCCTCGAATCTCACCCGCTGCCCCCGGCCGAACTCACAAAGGGGGGCCTCACGGTTCCCTGATGGAGGAGTTCATTCTCCGACATCTGGCGCGCCAGGTAGGGGGCGCGTTCGTGATTTTTGAGGTTCTTTCGAGCGCCGGCGCGATAAGTGTTGCGCCGCCAATGCGGGGGAAGGCGCAGCTTCCTCAGGAGTGCCGCACCACCCCAGGCAGGGGGCCAGGCCCCCCTCATCTTCACCGGATAAGGCTGGCGGCCAGGTCTTTATGGCGAGTCTTCGGAATGACCGATGACCCCCAAAGTTTCGGCCCAGCCTCACCGAAAGGTACCACGGTAGCATCAACCCCTCCGAGTCCCTCCAGATCCACACGACGATCATAGAGGCGGCGTGGGGTGACGACCGGGTCAAGGCGAGTTTCTTCCCCATGGCCCTTCATGGCCAAGCGCGGGGATCGCTCATGAACCTGCCACCTGCCTCGGTCTACTCCTGAGAGGACTCTTGCAGTTGAGCTCCGGGTGTCGTCGAAGCCCGGGACCCCCTGTGCTGGCTCTTCCATAGCGGCTAGTTTTGGTCCCGCCGGCTGGCTACGGTGCTCGGCCCGGCTCAACTAATCGTCCTTTCAAGCTTCAAGTATTTTCATTTTTTCAATTCATCAGCTTAATACAGCTTGAAGTCTTATATTTATTTTCCCCCGTTCTTTTCTCATGGCCATATGACGCTCGCGTGTTGCGCATTTGTTTGCTCCCTCGGTGGTAAAAGCCCAACCTCTCTCCCATCTACATGAATGTTTCCTCGCTAGGTGTGGGGGCTAAGTTTTCTAGCCCTATTCTAGCCTTAAGTTGAGTGTCGGGTGCCGTCGAAGCCCGGGACCCCCTGTGCTGGCTCTTCCGTAGCGGCTAGCTTTGGTCCCACCGGTTGGCTACGGTGCCCGGCCTGGCTCAACTGTGGACGGGGATCGCTGGCTCTAGAGTTTTTCGGCTCTCACACACGGGCGAAAGTAGTCGTCCGTGTAGAAGGAAGAGATATTGAAAGGAGGCCACCGAAAGGAAAGATCAAACAGAATGTGTAGCGTGGGGACACAGGCTTGTGGGAACCTAACCTCGTTTGCTAAGTGGTCGCAGGCTTCCCAAAGTGGTTAGGGACCCATGGAGGGAGGCCCTCTTCAAGCTAAAGGTTTGAAAGGTCGCGACATGCAAGCAAGGTTTGTGTTTGCTTCATTCATACAAACGATTCTTTGCTAAAAGTATGGGGGCTACGATTCCTAGCTCTATCCTAGCCCTGCGTCGAGCTTTGGGCGCCGTCGACGTCTGGGTCCCCCTGTGCTGGCTCTTCCGTAGCGGCTGGTTTTGGCCCCGTCGGCTGGCTACAGCGCCCAGCTTGGCTTGATCGTGGGTGAAGATTGTTGGCTATGGAAAATTTAGTCCTCGCACTCGCGCAAAGATGATCATTTGCATAGAATTATTATTGCTTATGTTTATCTCTCGCCCATCTCTTCCTCGCGGTCCCGCGGTACCCACGTGTCGCGCGCTGGCTTGCCTCCCTTGGTAACAAAAAGTTTGTATTCACCTCATCCATTCAAACGATTCTTTGCTAGAAGTGTGGGAGCTATGATTCCTAGCTCTATCCTAGCCCTGCGTCGAGCTCTGGTCGCCGTCGACGCCTGGGGTCCCCTGTGCTGGCTCTTCCATAGCAGCTAGTTTTGGCCCCACCAGCTGGCTACGGCGCCCAGCCTGGCTTGATCGCGGGTAAAGATTGTTGACTATGGAAAGTTCAGTCCCCACGCTCACGCAAAAATAATCGTTTTGAATAGATGAAGTATAACACGAACAGAGGTTAACAAGAGGCAGGGGCAAGCAAGGTACGCGGCGTAAGGTCACGGGCCCGAGAGAGTCTAACAACATTTGCTGAGTATATACAGGAAATAAGTTCACGACCTAAGGTATGGGCTAAACTCCCGAGCCCGCAGTGCCTCGGAGACCGGGAGGAAAGTGGGAAGTTAAGGCGACGTATGAACGTGACTAAACTCCCACCGCCCAACTCCCAGAATGATAGGACAGAAGATCGGGCCCGCATGTCAACTGACTAGCAGATTGGTGTCAACCCTGATCACCTGGGAAAGGTTTTGGCCAGGGCTAACGCCGGGGGCTACTGTCGGTGATATGAGCCCGGGGGTATCATGTTTAGAGGGAGGAGGCTGGGGTGGCGGCCACTCCTTCCCAAAGACTAGTCGGAGGAGGCTGCCCCCAATGCCATGTGGCCCTCCCCCAAGGGGAGTCAGGCCCGAGGTGGGGTGGCGGCCACTCCTTCCCAAAGACTAGTCGGAGGAGGCCGCCCCCCAATGCCACATGGCCCTCCCCCAAGGGGAGTCAGGCCTGAGGTGGGGTGGCGGCCACTCCCTGGCCAAGACTAGAGGGAGAAGGCTGCCCCAGGCGCCATGTGGCCCTCCCCCGAGGGGGGATCGAGCCCGAGGTCGGGCGGCGGCGGCCCCTTCCCGTGACTAGGGATCGGGCTCCCCCGACCCCCTCTCTAGGTCACCACGTACAGGTGCCCACCTACTCGCATTTATGGTGACCCGAGCGGTCGTGCGGCGTGCAGTGTACTCAACCGGTCTGTGACCGGTCGAATAACCGATGGGACTGGCTAGTGCGCCTGTGCGCTGCTTTTGTGTCAGGCGGCGTGCAGCCTGACATGTCCCATCAAATAATGATGGTGAGAAGTTCTCACCCTCTTATCCCAGTGTCATGACCGGCAATGGTGACACTGAAAAAGTTGTAATCAATAAAGCTGTGAGAGCTGCCAGAATCCACCAAAAGTAACAAGACTTTACTGTGAACCAATGCTCTCAAACGAATAGCAGTAGGAAGGTGAGCTCCTGTCAACTGCAGACCTTATCGCTATTCTCCGTTACAAAAAGACGAGATTGAGAAACAGGTGAAAGAAATGATTGATGCTGGTTTAATTACACCTAGTATGAGTCCCTATGCATCACCTGTTTTACTTGTCAAGAAAAAGGATGGTAGTTGGCGTTTTTGTGTGGATTACAGAAGATTAAATGCTCTCACCATTAAAAGTAAGTTTCCTATGCCGGTTGTTGATGAATTATTGGATGAGCTCTCAGGCACTAAATTCTTCTCTAAACTGGACTTGAAAGCTGGGTATCATCAAATTCGAATGGTGGAAACTGATGAAGCCAAGACAGCCTTTAAGACACATCATGGGCAATTTCAGTTTAGGGTTATGCCATTTGGTCTCACGAATGCACCCTCCACCTTTCAGTGCCTTATGAACTCAGTCCTTGCACCATTTATCAGGAAGTTTGTGTTGGTGTTTATGGATGATATCTTAGTTTATAGCCCTGACCTTGATAGTCATTTGCATCATCTTCAGCAAGTTTTTGTTATTTTGAGGCAGCACCAGTTGTTTGCTAGGAGGTCTAAATGCTCTTTTGCTTGCACTCAACTGGAATACTTAGGACATATCATTTCTGACAAAGGAGTTAGTACTGATCCTGAGAAGACAGCAGCAATGCTGGCTTGGCCTGTGCCTACTTCTGTTACTGAATTGAGGGGATTTTTGGGACTGACAGGCTATTACAGAAAATTTGTTCAGGGTTATAGTATCATAGCACGACCATTGACACTCTTGTTGAAGAAGAAGGCCTTTCTTTGGACTGATGCTGCTCAGCTTGCTTTTGATCAGTTGAAGACAGCTATGAGTAACACTCCAATGTTAGCTTTGCCCAATTTTCAGCTTCCTTTTACTTTGGAGACTGATGCATGTGCTTATGGTCTTGGTGCTGTT